GCCCTTCTCCCACCCCGCCCCACCCCTCCCTGGCTTCCCTCTTCTTCCCCCCTGCCTCCTCCCTCCCCCAGCCAAGCCCGGGAGCCCAGGTGCTTCGGAAGGAGTGGACAGGCAGGAAGGAGCCCGGCCACACACGGGCCCACGGGGCGCCACCCATTTACTCGCTCCTGGGAAGGGACCGCCCTGTGCCCGGGCTGCGCACCTGACCCGCTGCCCGAGGGTCATCACGTGCCCGGGAGCGGGGCACACAGCCTGCCTCCCGCAGAGCCCGTGTGGCCCCGGGCAAGGGCGCCCGTCCCCAGTCCTGCCCCGGGCAGAGACCCCTGGAGCAGGCGCATCGGCGAGCAGCGATCGCCAAGGTGTTCGCCGCCGGAGCCGGGGGCGCGCCCGGGACGGGGCGGGAGCCCAGGGGAGGCTCCTGCGGCGAGAGCGCGGGTCGCCAGGCTGGCTCGTGCGCGGTCTGTGCCCTCGGCGTCTCGTAACGGAGGGTGCGGTCCCGGCACAGGGACCCCGGGCCCCTCCTCTGGGTCGAACGGCTTCTCCGGCTCAGGCTGCGGGCATCCGAGCGGACCCAGGCCGGGGGCGCGGGCGCGGGCTGCGCAGCGGGTCAGCCGAGCGGCCGCCGGCTCCTCCCGCTCCGTGCTGGCCGTCCTCCGGGGCCGTGGACTGTGTGGTCCGTGGGGGTGCGGGTGAGCATCGGGAGGCGCCAGTCACGGTGGCAGCCTGGGGCGCGCCGCTCCGGGCCGAGCGTGCGGGGCCGGCCTGCAGTCCCGGGTCCCTGGCGCCCGCCGCGGCCGCGAGATGCCGCTGCTGCGCTCCGGAAAAGCGAAAGCGGCGAGGGGCGAGGGCGGCGGGCCGGACCACGCAGCGCCTGGGGCGGGGGTGTCCGGGAGCCCTGGGCGGGGCCGCGGCCCGCGGCGCCGGCGCGCTTCCCCTACGCCGGCCGCGCGCGGTGGTTGGCTCCGGACGCGCCGCGCGTCGCTCCCGGCTCCCAGGCGTGCGGGCCGCCGGCCGAGCGGGAGCAGGGTCCTCGCGCGTCTACGCCGCCGCAATGCTGGGGCTGCTGGCGGGGGCGCTGGGGGCGCTCGCCTTCTTCGCGCTGCTGGACGGCTGGTACCTGGTGCGCGTGCCGCTAGCCGTGCTGCGCGCGCGCCTGCTGCTGCCGCGCGTCCGCGACCTGCTCGCCGAGCAGCGCTACGCGGGCCGCGTCCTGCCCTCCGACCTGGACCTGTTGCTGCACATGAACAACGCGCGCTACCTGCGCGAGGCCGACGTGGCGCGCGCCGTGCACCTGACCCGCTGCGGCGTGCTCGGGGCGCTGCGGGAGACGGGGGCGCACGCGGTGCTGGCCGCCTCGTGCGCGCGCTACCGCCGCTCGCTGCGCCTGTTCGAGCCCTTTGAGGTGCGCACCCGCCTGCTGGGCTGGGACGACCGCGCCTTCTACCTGGAGGCGCGCTTCGTCAGCCGGCGCGACGGCTTCGTGTGCGCGCTGCTGCGCTTCCGGCATCACGTGCTGGGGACGTCGCCGGAGCGCATCGTGCAGCACCTGTGCAAGCGCAGGGTGAGCGCCCCCCGGCCCCGGGGAGGGCCTGCCCTCACTGATCCCCTTCCTGGGGCGCCCCAGGGCCCCTGCATCCGCCCCTCCCAGCGGGGCGCCGCGTGCCCCCTCCTGAACCTGGCCCTCGGCTGCCGGCTGCCGTGGCACGGCTTCCTCTCGGCCCAGACCAGGCCTCTGCAAGCTCCGGGGTGCCCAGCCCCTCCTCTGCCACCCCTGGTTCTGAATGCCGGCCGGAGGGCCCCCCAGCTGGAGACCCTGCGCACAGCGACAGTCGGGCTGGTGGGGCCCCTGGGTTGGGGTTGGAGCCCTAGCCCATGCAAGCTGCCCGCCTTTCCTGCCTGTCTCCTGCTGGGGAGAGGGGCCCGCCCCTGCCCGGGGCTCCCAGCCCTTCCCCAGGGCCCACTGCAGCCCGGCAGCCAGGGCCTGGGGACGGCCAGGGCCTGTGGTTGCCAGGGAGGCCCCTGAGCAGGTGCCTGGGGCCCCTGTGGGAGAAGCCAGTGCCCACGGGCCCTGTCCCTGGTTACCCCGGGGCTGGGGGAGGGGGCACAGTCTGGCCTCAGGTCAGAGGCCGCAGAAGCCCCTCAGGGCCTGGGTCTCGCAGCCCCCCAGGAGGGGCGGCTACAGCACCCGCCTCGGCGCGCTCAGGTGCGGCCGTGGTTGGCTGTGGGCTGGTGGTGGGGTCCCCGTGAGTGGAGGGGCCTGGGATGGCATTTGTGAGGTGCAAGTGGCCCACCCTGCAGCGGGGGGAGGGGTGGCCCCAGGCAGGGATGTGGGTGTGGTTTGGGCAGGGGGAGCTGGGCCTGACGGTGGGCACGGGGCAGGCAGGCCAGGGCTCTCACTCTGAGCACCTGTTCCCCAGCGCTGTCCCTTGGGCCCTGCCCTGGGGTCCACTCCCATCACAGCGTGGTGGCTGCGTGTCCCAGGAGGAGGCGGCCAGTGCGGCCAAGCTGGGAGGGCTGGGGACAGAGCGGTCAGGCCCCAAGCTGGCTGCTGGCCGGGTCCGGGCCTCTTGGAGCAGGCAGGAGACAGACGCCCTCAGGATGCCGCTGTCCAGATCCTCCCCCTGGAGAGGCGCCCGTGTCCCCTCCGCCCCTGCCCCCGCCCCGCAGCCAGGGAGCCTGGCGTTCACGGCGCGGGCCGGAGCGTGGCCCTCTCCAGACTTCGTGAAGTCCTAGCTCAGAGGACCCAGGAGGCACCGGGCGCAGCCAGGATGGGTGTGGGCGGGTTCCTCCTGCACGGTCACTCTGGGCGGAGGCCCTGCCCACCCCTGCTGCTGCGGCCCCGGGCAGCCAGGCCATCCTCACCCTCCCGTCCCCTGCAGGTGGAGCCCCCTGAGCTGCCGGAAGACCTGCGGCACTGGATCACCTACAACGAGGCCAGCAGCCAGCTGCTCCGTGCCGAGGGTGGGCTCAGCGGCGTCACCAAGGACCAGTGACCCCGGCGCCCCTGCCCTGGGGGAGGGCCGGGCCCGGCTGGGCTCGCACCGAGCTGGAGCAGCCTCGAGGTCCACCCTGCCCCGGGGGCCCACTCGGCTCCCCAGTCCCTGACGCCCCTCCGTGCTGGGCCCCGTCCTGGGCACCCCGACGCAGCTCTGTCCCCGGCGGGATGCACCGGGAGTCTGGGCCTCTGCGGGCCCAGGGTGGAGGCTGGCGCAGCGGCGGCCAGGTATCGGGGTCAAGGCCGAGCTGCCGGGTGCCCAGGCCTGGACAGCAGCTCCCCGTGGCTCGGAGGAAGTCGCTGCCCATGCCCCATCACCCCTGCCCGTGCCAGCCCAGGGCCCACAGAGCAGCTGGAAGCCTGGAGCTGCCTCCTTGCTGCCCCTCAGGGATCCCCCGTGGCCCCTGGAGCTCACTCACACCCCACCCCCGAGCTACCGTGCCTGCCTTGCGGCCGAGCCTTGGCTGCTGGCACTCAGAGCGCCAGATTAAAGGGTTGCACAGCACGCGTCCGGGGGAGCTCCGTCTCTGCGCCTCGAGGGGCGGCTGCCCGAAGCCTGTCAGCTCCCTTGGACTCATCCCTGTCCATGGGACACGGGGCTGGGCTTGTCCACGGTCCCCTGGCTGGCCTATCCTCAACCCAGCCCTGCAGCCTGGGGCGCTGCCCACGGATGTCCCGCCCCGCCCACGAACACCCAGCTCTGCCCAGGTTTCTGGTTCCTTCCATGGGGTTCCTGGAACGGCCCATCCCATACTGGGTGTCAACCCCCAGGCTCCTGCAGCTGCAGGGTGGGGAGTAGCACAGAGGTCAGAGGTCAGCGTGTCTGGCAGGTGGTGGTAGGGCAGTGGCAGGTCCACATCTGCCTGCTCAGGGGAGCCCAGGAACCCCAACGACCTGGTGAGGGGCAGCCGGACACAGAAGGTGGTCTGGTGAGTGGAGTGGCCCTGGGGCTAGGAGCCCACCACAGGACACGGGGGGTCGAGGACAGCAGGGAGTGCGGGTGCTGGCCAGTGTCCGAGCTCAGTGGCCGGATGGAGGGGCCGTGGGTGAGTAGTAGAGCATGTGGGGCTGGACTCAGGATGCTGACGTCAGAGTGGGCCCGTGGGACATGGGGGCATTCCCCCATGTGGCCCCGTGCTCCGCGTGGGCCTGGGTGGCTCAGCCCAGCTTGCTGGTGGGGTCCCCGTGTGCATGGCCGGGTGCGCCATCGTCCCCAGAGTGCAGGGCGTGTCCCCTGTTGCCCGGCTGGTGAGCAAATTGTGCTCACCCAGGAGGAGGCCATGGCACTGGCCTCAGGGCTCCAGGTACACAGGGGGTGGGGAGCAGCAGGGGGTGACCTAGCCGAGGCCGGCCTGCACCTGCCCTGGTTGGGGGCTGCTCCCGAGGGACCCTTGTCACCAGCCTGGGCGCCCCCTCCAGGCTTCTGTCCATCACTCCCTCCCCAGCAGAGCTGCCAGCAGGACCCAGGGGTGTGCCTGGTGACCTGTGGGGCCTCGGGACCCATGGCCTGGCAGGCGCATCACAGACAGGTCCACCCTCCCCACAGTGGGGCAGAGCACAGGGGCCGGCCCAGCTGGGGGCCACGCCAGGTGTCCTAGCTCCTAAGGACCCTGGGGGTCACTGCTGCCTCTGTCCTCGGGCCCCACGACTGAGCCCTGGGGGACAGCCCTGGCCAGCTGCCCCCTGGGAGGGACGCAGGTTGGCTGGCACTGACCACGCCCTCACCTGGCCTCCCCAGCCATCCTGGGGGCAGCAGACAAGTGCACACCCCGGACGACCTGGACAGGGGCTGAGCCTCCACAGACCCTTGGCCCCGCCCTCCTCTCGCCACAGAGATGCCCAGCAGGCTGGGCTGGCAGAACCAGACTCCCAGCTGCCTTTGCACCTGGGGCTGGAGAAGAGGTCGGGAATGAGGCTTGGGGCGAGTTTGCAGGAAGGGCAGCCCAGGAGGTGTTTTTCCCCGCGAAGGCAAATGGGGCAGAAAGACCAGAACAAAGGTCAGGTGCCCAGAGCGAGCCAGGTCAACCCTGAAGGCCAGCCCTGGGGGACAGAGGTGTGACCACCCTTGGCTCATTTATTTTCTTTTAAAATTTGTATCTATTTGAAAGGCAGGAGGGAGAGAGATGGAGGTCTCCCATCTGCTGGTTCTCTCCCCAAACGCCTGAAACAGGTGGGGCTGGGCCAGGCCGAGGCCAGCGGCCAGGAGCACGACCCAGGTCTCCCAGGTGGGTGGTGGGGACCAAGGACTTGAGCCAGCACCTGCTCCCTTCCAGGTTGCCTATGAGTAGGGATCTGGAATCGAGTGGAGGCACGGCTCGAACCCAGGCACTCCAACTGGATGCCAGCAGCAGTGTCAACCCCTGTGCCCAGTATCCAGTCCTCTGGCTTGTTTTCTGCAAGTGTGGTGGATGTGGGGCAGGGTGTGTCCTCAGTGTGCGCTCCTCCCTTGGGTCTCCTGAGGAGCTCATGGCCCGGGGCGTGGGGAGCTGCAGGCGGTGCCAGCCGTCAGGAGAGAAGAGGCAGGAGGAGGGCAGCCCCCAGCGTGGCCAGGGCCCCCAGGCCCGGCCTGGCCACCCCCACTGAGTTGCACAGGTCGCGGAAGCAGCAGAAGACAGGGCGGGAAACCCCCATGCTGTCGGGGTCGGTGGCCAGGCAGGAGCTGGAGCAGGATCGGGTCACCATGGGGCTTCGGTCGAAGGGGTACTCTGCGGCGGCGGAGGGGGGGGGTTGTCAGAGCGGGTACCCAGGACGGCACCGCCGGATCTGCCCGCCCGCCCCGCTGCACCTGACCTGCGTCCTTCCCGCCCCCAGCCCCGCCCCTGTCCTGCCTCTGAGATCTGGAAGGCGCCGTGCCCTCTCCCATCCAACCCACCCCGCCACAGGGACAGGTCGGTTGACGTGAACGCCGGCTCCCACTGAGCACCGCAGTGCAAACCCCCAGCGCCAGGGCCCTAGGGTGGAGCCCTGCCTGGCCCCACATCCTCCAGGCTGGAGCAGGGCGGGCACAGCATCTGGGGGAGGTGGCTGCACCCGCGGGCCCAGCCTCACCCGATTCCACGGTCTCCAGTGTGGTCTTGCATGCCGTGTCCTCCTGCTTGCACAGGGTGATGTTTTTGCAGGAAGACATAGCCATGGGCCGCTCGCAGGAGTAGCACCGGAAGGCCTCACCTGGGCGAGGGGCGGGGGCCGAACCTCATCACCCGGCCAGAGGCCAGGAGCCCCCCAGCCACAAGCTCCCCAGCAGGCCTCCCCCAAGGAGCAGGCAAACAGAGCCCGAGGCAGGGTCCCTGGCCACTCACCGCAGCCCGCGCTCCAGGCTGCCACCAGCAGCAGCCGCACGGCCCAGGGAGAGGCCATGGCGGGTGTTCCGGTGCCGCGAGAGGTTCCAGGAGAGGATTTATAGCCGGCCCTCGGGCACTGGCTCCTGGGCGGTGGCAGAGCCAGCCATGAGTCAGCCGGTGACATAGACAGGACCATGGGCGGGAGCCGAGGGAGCCCAGCGGGACGGGCCTAGCCCTGCTCCGTGTGGGGCACCTCCAGCACCGGGGGCCACAGTCGTCCTGGGCTGCTCTGAGTGGGCTCAGACCACCCCTGAGGCCCCGCGCTGTGCTCTGGCTCTGCCTTCGGGTTCACTTCGGTCACGCGGCCCCAGTCTTGGGGACTCTCAGACCCAGGTACATGGCCCTGCTCAGCGCTCCCTCTGCCCACCTGCCTGGCCCTGGCGGGAGCCACACCAGACCCCAAGCCCCCATTCAGCCAGTCAGGGGCCAAGTTGAGGTTACCTGCACACCCAGGCTCCTCCCCCAGTTGTCCCTTGGATACCCACAGTAGGGACTGGAGGTGGGACCCTGGGCCAGCGTGGAGCAGGGTGAGTGCCTGGTGACACGGGTGTGGCGGCCGGGTCCCACTCTGGCGAGGACACGGGGCTGGTCTCCGCATTTCCAGCCCCTTCCCACCAACAGCCTTCCGACTAAGCCAGAGCCTGCTGTTTAAGCCCCTCCAGCCTCTGACCAGCGCTGTGCACTGTCCCATGCCTGCGGCGGTGCCTGTGCTGCGCCTCTCAGTGGGCACACGGGCTGCTCTCCCCTCCCAGGCTCAGATCACGCTGTAAGACCCAGCCAGGCACTCCTCCTCCACGGCCCCTCCCAACATCCCACTCTTGGGTTTCCCTGTCGTCCCAGGTGGACCTAATGGTGTTGTGTGGATGGGTCGGGGGTGCGTGGATGGATGGATGGATAGGTAGATGGGTGGATGGAGAGACAGATGAATGGTATATGGATGGGTAAGTGGATGGAGGGATAGGTAGATGGGTGGGCAGATGGAGTGTGGACAGGTGAATGGATGGATGTTTGATGGATAAGTGGACGGATGGATGGATGGATGGATGGACACATGGACGGATGGATGGATGCCTGATGGACGGGTAGGTAGGAGGATGGGAGGGTGGGTGGGTGGAGGGATGGTATCTGAGGGCAGGGGTGAGTAGAGAGAGGGATGATGGATGGACAGATGGATGGATGTTTGGATGGACACATGGACGGATGGATGGATGGATGCCTGATGGATGGGCAGGTAGGGGGATGGGTGGGTGGGTGGAGGGTGGTATCTGAGGGTGTGGATGAGTGGAGAGAGGGATGATGGATGGGCGAGTTCATGGATAGGAGGGTAAGTGGCAGGCGGAGGGCTGGGGGTGGACTCTGCCATCAGAGGCAGAGCAGGTGGTGGAAGGAGCGCTGGGCTGGCGCCAGGGAAGCCGGGGTCTGGTCTTGCCCTTGTTGCCGTCTCCCTGTGTGGCCCTGGGGGGCCCCCTTGTCCCTGGAGACCTTGGTTCCCTGCCTGCTGCACAGGCACAAGTGATCAAAGTGATCAGGCCCAGGCTGAGGCATGTCCCCGTGGAAGCAGAGAGGGTGTGGCCTGCAGAGGGCGACCGTGGGCGGCACAGGGGGCAGTCGTGGTGGCCCGGCCCTGGCCCCCTGCAGACACACCTGCCGAGGAGGCCCTGGATGGCTGCTTCAGGAGCCGCGTCCTGGCTCCGCCCAGCCTCCCGCGTGACCCGGATCGGCTCGGTCCCCAGGGCTGACAGCGCCCTGCCAGTCAGAGCAGGTGGGCTTGGAACACAGGTGAGGCCGACGGGGCAGCAGGCATGGCAGGCCGGGGGGCGAGGTGGTAGGGACGGTGCTTGGGTGGGGGTTTCGGCTGGAGGGAGCACACACACACACCTCCCTGCGGGCAGGGCAGGGCAGGCACCAGCTGGTCCTGCGTGCAGGTGGAAAAGTGGCATCAGACCTGGCAGAACTGGGTTCTAGGGAGATGGCTGTACTCCCGCCTCCTGCGTCTCTGCGAATCCACGCCCTTCCCAGTGGCCCCGGGTGCGGGACCAGGAGACCAGGTTCGAGCCCTGCTGACCTGGGGGCCGCTGACTGCCCAGAGACGGGAAGTTCCGGTTTGCAGGGGCCCTAGCCCCAAAGCCCAGGACCGGACTCTCGCAGGCCAGGCGAGCACCAGCCTGCCGGTTACTGGGGGCGTGGCTGTGGGTAGACCCACCCCCTTTCTGAGCCTGTAAGTCGGGGTGATGATCGCTCCCAGTCTTCGGGGTAGCTGGGAGGCTGAAATGAGGGACAGCTGTGCAGGCCGTGCAAGATGGATGGCAGAAACCGACAGAGGCACAGGCGGGAGCCTCCGGGCGCCTGCTCCAGGCTGGCCAGGTCACTCAGACAACTGTGACCCATTATCCAAGATGGAATTAGGGCCCCTCCCACCCAGCTGGCTACCGCCCAGTCCGCAGTTGGCTCCCGACAGCTGCCAGGTCAGCCTGTCACCATTGACGAGGGCCTGACCACACCCCCCACCTGCCACTGCACACACTGTCCACTGTCTCCAGGCCGAAGTCAGAGCCCCACCCCCACCCTGGTGCTCGGTGCGTGTCCCCCCTGGCCTGGCCTGCTGGGCTGCCCGATTCTTGAGGGGCGGTACCCGTGCCGTTCCTCTGAGAGTCCTCCCACACCAGCCTGAGCCCTGCCAACTGTGGGCAGCATTTTCTAGAGGATGGAAGGATGGGTGAATGGGGGTATGGAGGGGTGGGTGGGGGTGGACAGAGAGGACGGATGAGTATGGGGGGTTGGATGGGTGACACATGGGTGCAGTGATGATGGGTGGGTGATGGATGGAGGGATGGGTGGTTGGAGGGATGAATAGAGATTTGGATGGATAGGTGATGGATGGATGGGTAGGTTATGAATGGAGGGAGGGAGGGGTGAATGGAGGGAGGGAGGGGTGATATATGGGTGGAGTGACGATGGATAGGTGATGGCTGGATTGATGGGTAGGTTATGAATGGATGGATGGATGGGTGGGTGGATGGAGAGATGGGTGGTTGATGGATGAATGGTGGATGGGTGGGGGATGGACAGAGAGGACGGATGAGTATGGGGGGTTGGATGGGTGACATATGGGTGCAATGACGATGGGTAGGTGGTGGATGGGTGGATGGAGGGATGGATGGACAGAGAGGATGAATGGAGGGATAGATGGGTGACAGGGGTGGAGTGACGATGGGCAGGTGATGGTTGGGTAGGTGATGGGTGGATGGATGGGTGGGGAGGTGATGGATGGATGTGTGGGTGGAGAGTTGACGTCATTTCTGCTGAGGAGACCCAGGACGAGTGCTGCCTGGGGCTGACCCCTCCCAGGACACAGACGTCCTTGTAACCCCCCGACAGGGTACAGTCAGCACAGACTTGGACACCCCTGGGAGGTGGGGGGCTACTCTAGCTCGGGGACAGATCTGTCTCGGGCCCTGTTCCCCAGGAGCCGGGCTTGGCAGCACAGCGTCCCCCCCCCGGTCCTGTGTGCAGCCTGCAGCAGCCCCACCCCACAGGTGTGCCGACACCTAACCAGCTCCCTCCGGGACATGACTCTGGGGACTGTGGGGTTTTTGCATGGACAGCTAATGGGGGACTCTCAGGTCTAGGTGCTGATGGACAAGGACCTGAGGCAGGGCTGCCACGGCTGCCTGGGGGAACGAGATGGCGGTGGTGGGGCAGGCAGGGGCAGCAGCCACGGGGACGAAGCAGAGGAAGCCGTCCTAGCTTCCACCCCGACACGCTCCCGCGGAGTGGGGGAATGCCGGGCCCAAGGCGAGCAGCGGGCAGTGCCGGCTCAGGGCCGTGCAGTGGGCTCTGGCTCCCCTTGGGGGCTCGAGCAGGCTGTGTGTCTACACCGACAGCCAACCCTGGGTAGGAAGGGCAGGAGCCCGCCCTGCACCCAAGGCAAGGCTGCTCTCTCTGCCGTGGGGGTGAGAGAGCCGGTGTGTGCGTGTGTGTGTGTGTGTGCGCGCACGTGTGCGCTACCTCATCCTCCTCCGTCTGATTCCAGGGCCAGGCCAAGGGGTGCTGGGGCTGCCACTCCCGGGCAGGAGCAGAGCCCGCCCTGTCACCAGTCCAGGGCGGGGGCCAGCATCAGGGGACGCTGTGTTCTGTTCCTCCCCTTCCTGGCCTGCTCCCGGCTCCTCTTCCAGCCGAAACCTGGGGCCACCGCCTCCTCCCCGGCTGCACCTCACTTTCTGCCTCCCTGTCCCATGGGTGACTCAGGGAGGGAGAGTCCAGGCAGTGCAGCTGAAGCCCAGGGCGGGGCTCAGGCTCGGACCGGGCCCCAGGTGTAGCCCGTGGTTGACCTGTGCCCCTGCCGGGCCAAGCCCTGATCCAATCCGGGTCCCGTCGGTGGGAGCCTGCAGCTACATGGGTGGCGAGGGTGTGTGTGAGACACGGGGGAAGCCACCGGCAGGTGTGATCTGGGACCACGTGCCGTGTCTCCCGCCCCAGAAGTCAGAGCTCAGAAGCACAACCCCGCACGGCACTGGGCCCTCCTGGCCGGTCAGCCCTGCTCGGGGAGACGGCCGCCCTGGGGGCTCGCAGCTGCAGCTCCCAGGTCCCGGGGACAAGAGCTGTCTGCCTCCTCAGGGGTGCTGTGGGACCCCCACCTGGGGCAGAGCCCACTTCAGGTCCTGGCTGCCGCCTCCTTCCATCCACAAGCAGGAATTCCCTTCAGGGTGGGGGCTCCCTGGACCCAGGGCGGTGGGCTGGGGGGCTTGGCTGGAAGTGCAGGCCCAGGAGGCCCAGAGCAGCTGCTGGAACCCCGACAGGCCAGAGGGGTGGGGTCCCAGAGCGAGGAGGGGGCCTCCCAAGCGATCCTTTGGACAGGCCGGGGCCAGCTCGTGCCCCACCTCCGTGCGTGTGACGGTGCCGCCGGCTACACGGATGCCGGTGGGCAGATGGCCCTCGTGCACCTGGCCTGGAGGACATGGGCAGCCCAAGGCCGCCGTGAAAGGCTGACCCTTTCTTGTCCTGGGCACCTGTGCGGGGGCCCCCGCCCGCTCCAGGCCTGGCTCAGGGCTGCCCCCAGGGCCGCGGGGAGCTCCACAGAGCAATCTCAGATCCTGGGTCACGTGGCCACCATCAGGAGGCTCCTGAAGGCAGCTTGCGCGCCCCCTCCCCTGGGCAGCCCCCTTGTCCAGCCCCGAGTGCCTGAGGGACAGAGGGCTGCCCGTGGGGGAGGAGAGGCCCCACCCGTCCTGGGAGGGCAGCGCAGAGCCGAGAAAGGAGGCGCAGGCGTGTGGGCGCTGCTTCTTTAAGGCACGCGAGGCTGGGCTGCGCAGGGGCTGGGGGGGGGGGGGGGCGGGCAGCAGGGTCAGGAGGGCGGCTAGAGGTGGAGGCCCAGCAGTGGGGCGAGGGCCAGGGCCAAGGCCAGGTGGTGGGGGCCGCCCGCGGGCACTGCGCTGTCCACGTTGCACAGCTTGGTGTTGCAGCAGGACACCGGCCGGGTCTGGCCGATGCCGTCCACGTCCGAGGGTTCACACTTGCTGGCGCAGGACTTGGTCACCGTGGAGTCTCCGAGGAAGGGGTACACTGCAGGGCATGGGAAGGGGCAGCTTCAGAGCTGGCCCTCGGCCGCCTCCAAGTCCCAGCCCAGGACCCACTCTGGGGCCGCCACCCTGCTGGTCCCAGTCCCCCACCCCGTCCCGTCCACCTGCTGTGTGCCGGGGACACAGGTGGTATCCCGAACTGGGGTGTTGCCCAGTGTAGGCAGTGAGACCATAGCCTGCGGGGGAGCTGGTGTTTCCCAGATTCCCGACAGAGGGAGGAGGGAGGAGGGAGGAGGGAGGAGGGAGGAGGGAGGAGGGTGGGGAAGGCCTGGCCCCCGACGCCCACTGACCGATCTCTCGGGAGTAGAGCGTGGTCTTGCACATGGTCTCATTGGCACTGCAGTTGGCGATGGTGACACAGCTGGACACACTCATGGGCTCGGGACAGGAGTAGCATTGCAGGGCCGCCCCTGGGAGACAAGCGCCGGGGGGTGGGTCAGACAGGCCACAACTCCAGGAGCCGCAGAGAGCTGGGGTCAGGCCGGGCTCGGAGGGGCCGAGTGCCAGAGGTGTAGCGTGTTCCTGGAGAGACAGGCTTGGGGGGCAAGGGGACCTCCGCCCCAGCATCTTCACAGTGGGTCCCCACAGACAGAGGCCTCAGCCGCCTGGGCTGGGGCAGTTGCCTTGGGACCTAAGGGATAGGGCGTGGAGGGGGAGGAGGGATGCGGGTGGCCGCTCTGGAAGCCCAGAGGGTGTGTGTGGCCGTGTCATGTAGGAGAGAAATCAGCCCAGGCCCGTGACAGGGGCCCGAGGATAACCAAGCCCCAGCATTCCCTGCCTGCAGCCCAATGGCTTTGCAGCCGGCCCAGGAGAACCCTCCCTGCCCCGCACCAGGTTGGCCGCCCAGACCTCGGGCGGGGAGGCTCACCCGCCTCACACCCAACAAACCCTCTGTCCGGGGGAGGGGGGGGTGGTGATCAGGAAAACCTGGACACCCCCTGCCCTACCCCGTCTGAATGCAGACGGCGAGCTCCGCTCCCGGCCCTGTGCCCAGCCGCCACCTGGCCCGGCAGGTGCCACCTTGCTCCGGCAGTCTGGGCGGCGGACCCAGCAGAAGGCGCCCATCATTCTGACGGACGCCCTGCTGCCCCGCCTACGGCTCCTCTCTGTGCCACGTCCAAGTCTTTTCTTACAGGAAGACAGAACTCCGATGCGGCTGCCCCCGCGAACAACTCAGACTGCCCAAGCAGCCCAGGCACACCTCCAGGCCTCGGCCTCTCCCTCACCAGTCTCTGCCCACACTAGCCGGCCTCAGTTTCTCTCTCTGGGAAATGGGCAGAGTCACCAGCTTGGGCCCTCTCGGTTTTGCTCCTTTCCTGGTTGAGCGTGGGGCCTGCAGGTCATGGCGCCCACTGTTCTCAGATCCCAAGTCCAGCAGTTACAGGGATGTGCCGGCCCCCCACTGCAGTGCCACCCCTGCCCCCAGGCCCCAGCCTCCCATGGCCCTGCCCACCTGCCACCCCCTCCTCACCCACATGAAACGGTGCCTGGAGCGCCCCTTCCCACCCCACCCTCGGTCTCCCCGTTCCTTCCTCCTGCACCTAGAGGGGACCCCTCCTCCTTCTAGGACCACTGATGCCCCCACCCACCGAGGGCACCGCGGGCCAAGGTCACAGGGCGGGAGTGCTGCCCCTACCCGCCCACACGCCCCTCACCGAGCTCCCCATGGGTGGCCAGCGCCAGGGCCAGGAGTGCCAGCCGTGTCCCGAGCATGGTCCCAGCCAGCTGTCTCCACTCGCCTGCGGGCTGTCCAGTGGGACTGCGGATGCGGTGTGGTGTGGTGGTGCGGTGGTCCAACCGGTCCGCTTAGCAGATTAGCAGGGTCGGGTTTCATAGGGCGGAGGTGTGGAGACCCCGCCCCAGGCCCTGGGCCCCTCCCGCCTCCACGTGGAGGCCCTGTCCCTACAGGCACTCCTCATGCCCCTGCTGGCCTGTTCCACTGCCCCTGGTGGTCTGGGCCCCCCAGCCCCCACAGGGTCCCCAGGTCCCTGCCCGACACACACACCCCTGGGCAGGGGGCTCTTCCTCCCCATCCCGCACACCAGGGCAGCTGGCTCACCTGCAGGCCCCCGGGCAGCCCTCCTGGCCACTCCTGCCCCTCCCACGTCCCCCTGGCTCCGGCCCCACACCTGTGTACAAGGCAGACCCCAGGGGCCTGGGTCGGGGGTCTTCCGGGATGACCTGGCTGGGGTGTCCTGGGGTTGCTCGGAGACAGACAGCAGCTGGCTCAACAGGAGATGCCCTGGCCGGCCACAGGGGGCTGGGGTTGCCGTGGGGACACTAATCCCAGCGTCCTGGCCGCTGGGACATCCGAGCACTGCCCTCAGGTCGGGAAGCGGCTCAGACAGGAGAGAACTCGGAGCCCAGTGGCTCAGGGGGCTCCAGCTGCAGCCCCCCTCCCGCACCCTGGGGTGCCCCCGGTCCACACCATCCTCTGAGTCCCACACCCCCCGGGAACCCCAGCCCACCACTCTGTCTTCTGCCCAAGGGCTGAAATTCTTTGTCTCTGGGGAGCCTGAGCCCCAGCAGTGGGAGAAGCCCCGGGTCCCTGTGTGCTGGGCGGGCCTGGCGGCCAGCCTGTGTCCCACAGCCTCCGGGGCCATGCCTTCCCTGCCCCAGCTCCAGAGGCACACGGTGTGGGTAGAGGACCTGCGACTCTGAGAGCTGATTGGCTCGGGCGGGGTCAGCCAGGGAGGCCAGCGCCGCCGAACCTGTCGGAGCTTGCAGGCCCCACACAGCCAGGCTGCAATCGGCCATGGTGCCGGCTAACTGGATTAGACGCCCCGCCACACACACCCTGGGCCCCTCCTCGGGTCTAACCCAGTTCCTCTGCCGCAGCCCTGCCCAGCTCAGCCCGGGGGCCCCGGCCGGGCGCTGCATCCCAACACACACCTGGCCCCCAGGCCCGGGAGCCCCTTCCTGTGGAGGAATGTGGCCCGGGAGGCCCCACCCTGCCTGCCTGGCTTCCTCCCGGCCCATGGCCAGGGTCAGGGTCAGGGTGTGGCCACACGTGGCCTCAGCAGTGAGCAGGGGGCACCTCCAAGGACACCCCCGAGCTGTGCTGCTGACCCCAAGAATCCACCCCTGGGCACCCGCGCCCTGATGTGCAATTAATGTGGGCCCCGGTTCAAGTCCACTTCCGATCCAGCTCCCTGCCAATGTGCCTGGGAAGGCAGCAGAGGATGGCCCAAGTACTCAGGTCCCTGTGCCCATGTGGGAGACCTGGAAGAAGCTTCTGGCTCCTGGCTTCGGACTGGTCCAGCTCCAGCTGTTACAGACAGACACTTGGGAAGTGAACCAGTGGATGGTAGACTTCTCTCTCTGTCTCTCTCTCAACTCTGTCTTTCAAATAAATAAGTAAATCTTAAAAAAAAAAAAAAACCAACAACTCACCCTTGAACGTGACCTAGGGATCAGACACTGCCCTGGCCCTGCCCCCCACTGCTCCTGGCCTGGCCGGGGCTCTCTGTCTCCAGGGGTCCTTGTTCACACCCCTCCCTACAGGCCGGGGTCAAGAAGCAGGGAGGGCAGGGCAGGGAGAGGCCACCCCGCGGCCTGTGGCAGCTTCTGCCGGAAGCTGGGGTCGGATGGGACGGGCCAGGCAGGCGGCAGGCTGCAGGCGTGGGCTACAGAGGGGCCACACACAGCGCTGACCTGGCACCCAGCCTGCTGCAGATTTCTTGACTTTGAGCGCGGCCTGCGGTTGCCTGGCAGGTGCTGGGGCAGACTCCCCCTCTCCCGCCCGGCCCCCTGGTCTACAGCCTGTGGCTGCCCAGGCCCGCGGCGCTGTCTCTGGGGTCCCCGTCTGGAGTGGCTCCGCTGTGCCCCAACTCAGGCCCTGGCTGCACGCAGGGATCCGCCGGGCCGTGAGGCCCTCGTGGCCCAACCAGGGAGGACTCGGTCTCCAGACCCGCGGCCAGGGGAGGGGGTTGGGGGTCCCCGCCGCCTCCTCGGTCCCTGCTCGCTCCACCAGAGCCGGCCGCTACGTTTGAACAAATCATCCCCGCTCCGTGGCTTCAGTCAGCACTGGCCATCAGCCCGGCTCCTTCTGGTCACCTGGGCTCTGCTGCACCCTCCTCGCAGGGTCTGCTGGGCGGGGATCAAGCCTTGGGCTGGGCTGGGCTGGGCTCCAGTCTGGGCAGGAATCGGTGTCCATCTCCTGCAGGCACTGACGGAACCAGGATCCTGGGGTGTGGGACTGACGGCCCTGGTCCCCTGCCCTGGTCCCAAGTGGTGCCGTCCTCCTGGCTTGGGTCCCTGCCACCCATGCGGGAGACCCCGGCGGAGCTCCAGGCTCCTGGCTTCAGCCTGGCCCAGCCCTGGCCGTTTTGGCCATGTGGGGAGCAAACCAGCGATGGAAGACCTCTGTGTCTCTCCCCCCGCCCTGTCAGTCTGCTTTTCACATAAATAAAATAAATCTTCAAAAATATTTTTTAAAGCCATGAATGCATGATGGTTTCAAAAACGTTTATGAAAATTGTATCATTGGGGCCGGCGCCGTGGCTCACTTGGTTAATCCTCTGCCTGCGGTGCCGGCATCCCATATGGGTGCTGGTTCTAGTCCCGGTTGCTCCTCTTCCAGTCCAGCTCTCTGCTGTGGCCCGGGAGTGCAGTGGAGGATGGCCCACGTGCTTGGGCCCTGCACCCCATGGGAGACCAGGAGAAGCACCTGGCTCCTGGCTTCGGATCAGCGCGGTGCCGGCTGTGGTGGCCATTGTGGGGTGAACCAACGGAAGGAAGACCTTTCTCTCTGTCTCTCTCTCTCTCGCTAACTCTGTCAAATAAATAAATAAATAAAATTTAAAAAAAGAAAATTATATTATTAAAAAACTGCATGGATTTTTCCACATTTCAAAGAAAAGGGGTTAGCTTTCACTTCTGTGTTCCCACCAGGTTCCCCCCTGGGGAGGTGCAGCCCCTGCCCAGTCCCCGGAGCCAGGCCTTGGGGACGGGTCTGTGGCTGGATGCCCTCCTCCCCCTCCCCGCCCCCTTGATGGATCCCACGGGAGAGGAGAGGCTTCCGGAACAGCCCTGCGCTCCCAGCGGGCCGAGGAGGTCAGGGCGCGGCGGCAGCTCTACGCAGTCAGTGGGCGCTGGCGCTGTGCGGCCTGGACCCTGCACCGGCCCTCTGAGCCTGCGTGGGCTATGTTCAGCCTCAACAGGAAGAGCCCCGCCCAGGCCCTGGCCCCCCCTTTTGTTTTCATTATGCGGCTTAGACTTTCTGCTGAACCAACCTGAGTTGAGGTGGGAACAGAGAACAAACGAGGTACCAAGGCGATCCACCTGTGACCCTCGGCCCGGGAGCCAGTGCCCCAGGCTGGAGACCCTGCCTTGGGGAGGCCACTGGGCCGGCTCCTGCTGAGTCCCTGGGCCCCGGGCGGAAGGCCCCTGTCTCTGCACCTGTGTGCACCTGCGCCAGGCGTGGGCGGCGCTCGGTCACACTGCGAAGCCCCCTCGCTGAGCGCACTCCGCTCCCAGCCTCATTACCACCGCCCAGACGACAGGAGGATAAAACAGGCAAACGCCAGGGGGCGCGCAGGGGCCGGTGCCGCAGCCGCCGCCAGAGCCCCTGCATCCCGCGTCCGTGGTGGTCCAGTCCTGGCTCCTTTGCTTCCGATCCAGCTTCCTGCGAAGGCTCCGGGAAGCGCTGGAGGAGGGCCCGAGTATCTGGACCCCTGCCCCCACGCAGGAGACGCGGACGGAGGTCAGGGCTCCCCGTGTCTCCCTGGCCCAGCCCTGGCTGTTGGGGCTTTTGGCAAGTTCACCAGGATAGGAAAGAAAGCGCTCTCGCTCTCCCTCTCCCCCTCTCTCCCCCCTTCTCTCTCTCTCTGTCCCTTTTAAATAAAATAAATCAATAAGCATTTTCTTAAAAGCTCACAGGAAATGGAATTAATATATAAGGGGGTTTTTTTGGGTGCAAAAAAAGTTACATCCACGCACGTGCAGTCCACGGAAAACGTTTACGTGGGGAGCGCAGGCTTCTCTGGGGGCACCAGATTTATGACTCTTTTGGTCCCATTGTCCGTGGAGAATTTGGGGAGCCCCCGGAACCATCTCTCAGCGCAGGCTCCCCGAAGGGCCTCCCCAGAAGCCACCAAACGACGCCCCAGGTCCCCAACCCCTGGCCTCAAAATCCAGGCCGTGGCCTCAGGGCCCCCACCTAGAGCCAGGCTCTCAGGTCCCTAGGCCTGGGGACGCCTCGGGCACCAGCAGTGGGCAGAGCTCGGGGCCTCTGGGCACAGCCCTGGCGTCTGCCCTCCCTCGCCCGGGCCCCAGCCTCTGTCGTTGAGTGTGGCCCAGCTCCTGTCCGGCTCAGCCAGCGGGCTGTCCTTCTCGCCAGACAACTGCTGCCTCCCCGCGCCTGGACCCCTGCTGGGCGGGCCTGGGGGGTGCCTGGCTCGCCCCCACCCCCTGCGGCTTTCAGTCTGGTCGCCCGCCGTGGCCGCCACCACCCGGGTCTCAGCGTTTTCATCCCCCTGTGCGGGAGCTCGGCCCCCTGCTGCCTTCCGGGGAAACTGCCCGCGTCCCGCGGTCCCCGGCAGCCCCCGCCCCAGAGCCCAGGAGGCGCTTCCGCTGACGGGGCGCCCGGTGGCCGCCAAGTGGCTTCAGGAGAAAGCGCCTCCTCTCCCCGCATCCCGCGCGGAGGCCCAGCCCAGGACCAGGGCTTTGCACACCTGCGCCCGGCGGGAAGGAAGCGCGCAGCGCGGGCTGCAGCCACGGGGCCGGCTCCCGCGACAGCGCCTTAGAGACGCGCCTGCACGCCGGCGCCGGCTCCTGCTCGCGCTCCGGGCCGCGGAGCGCGCCGTGGACGCCCCCGCCCGCCGGGCCCCCGCAGCGCGCGCCTGGCTTGGCG